GTAGCCGAAAGTATACAAAATGTAAAATATACAAAGCTTAAGGTGCCATGGAAGTTAACAGGAAATGACAAAACAAAAAAATGACAAAACCATGCTGGATTTTGAACATTTTTTGAACCAAGGTAACAGAGTTCTGTTTGGACCTCCAGTCAGTTTAACAAGTTCCACATATCATTTACATGACCGGGAACACAATGGAAATGGTCAGAATGACCATAAACATGATGAAATAACCTTTTCAGCCCTCTGAAAATGTGACTGAAAAATAGCTAAAAGTAGGTGCTTGGGAAAGGTCAGTGCACAGAATCTTTTGATTTTTTCATAAAATGTGTCCAATATATTGCTCTAAATGATACAATCTTTGGAATTTTAAAAAATTATCTGAAACAATAATGGCTGTCGTAAAAAGGAAAATAGATCGATTTTCAATTCAGTTTTCTTCATTTTTTTTCTTTTTCTCAGAATGATATAATATTTTTAAAATTGTATCATTTAGAGCAATATATTAGGCACATTTTCTGAATAAGTCTGTTCAGTTACCTTTCCTGAGCACCTACTCTTCACATTTTCAAAGGGCTGAAAATGTTATTTTATCATGTTAATGGTCATTCTGACCATTTCCATTGTGTTCCCGGTCATGTAAATGATATGTGGAACTTGTTAAACTGACCGGGGGTCCAAACAGATAACTCTGTTATCTTGGTTCAACATTTTTTCAAAATCCGGCTTGGTTTTGTCAATTTTGGTTTTGCCATTTCCTGTTAAGTTCCATGGCACCTTAAGGGATGTGTATCTAGATATTATTTTAAGGACAGGGTGCATGTTGGGAAATTTTCTGCATTCCTCAATTGAGTCACATGTTATTTTTCAAACAAGAATAACTCCTTCCCCACATTGTCTACATCTTCCAAGTTTGCACAAAGAGTGCACGTATGTGCCTAGAAAAGCCTTGTGAGAAGGTTTGTTTTGTAAAATGTATAAAACTGAGAAAATTCAGTGAAAAAAATTTCTGAAAATTTTCTGTTTTTTTTCACGGAATTTTCTTGTTTTTATACACTTTATCAAAACATTCTTCTCACAAGTCTTTTCTAGGCACATAAGTGCACTCTTTGTGCAAAACTGGAAGATATAGACAATGTGGGGAAGGAGTGATTCTTGTTTGAAAAATAACATGTGACTCAATTGAGGAATGCAGAAAATTTCCCATCATGCACCCTGACCTTAAAGGGTGACGCATATCGTTTAGCAAATCGAACGCTCGTTTCTGGTGTTGCTCACCGTTTAGTATAAAAGGCCCGATCCCGGAATAATACTCAAGGGTTCACAGGCTCGAGGTCATTGTGTCAACACCTCTAACTGTTATATAGCATAAGTATATTATAGATCGTCACACATTTATAAAAGGGTGATTTTTATTTTGACAAATCAATTCCACATTTATGGGTGAAGTTTCAGGATCTTCTATTTGTGTATAATAAGGAAAAATTGGCATTTAATTTCCCAATAAGGTAATAGCACACAGCTTGGCATATGAAATATCCTACAAATGAAACAAAGCAAGACAAACCGGTTTCTAATACAAGGATTTATATTCGCTGTTGTACATGTATTCTTTGAACGCAATCACTCTTTGGGTAACGTTTTCAAAATCATTATAAACGGATTACTTTATCTCAAAGACAATTTCAATAAACTGGATTTTACAGAGCTCCCCTTATTTCTTATAAATGGACTGATCCAGTTGATTCGCCTGGAGCCGCCATATTGTTTTTATACGGGATGCTAATCGGAACCCTTTAAAGCATGAAGTCCCAAATCACCATATTCTGGGAATGGTGATAGAAAATCGAGATGTCATTTATATATGGTGAGCACGTTACAGTACATTTCCTATATATAGGATACACAGCACATTTTAGGTGTTCACACACAGATATTTTCTTTAAAAACACATAGTCCTTGACCTAATATGGCTTTGTTTTTACAGATTCTGGCTTCGTTATGCGACTCAGTAACCCCCCATGGTGCACAATGTCGAATGTTTTAAAAACAATTGGACCATTTCTACTTACAACGTACAATAAATCCAATAAGGTAAGAATATTATATTTGATTTTTATTTATTTATTTATTTATTTTATTAAAGTGTCATGAGTCATAAAACATATAAAATACAATTAAAACACCCCAGGCCGACAACGACCTATAGGACACTTATATACTTATATACTTGATACACTTATATTAGTCACACAGTCACTCTGTTCCGAACCAATCCAAAATTGTTCCATTCTGAAGCCAAATGTTCCGAACCATTCTGATATTTTTGTTCCCTGGCACCTCTAACATGACATGAGGCCCATGAATTCAAAATATAAAAAATATATCTGAACAAAATGTTTTTGTATTGCACTTTTTAAAGTGCTATGATGTTGTCGTCTTGAGCTGATTGATATGCATGCATCTGTGCATGTGTTTTTCACATCTCAGTGGTCAGAAGTTGTCTGTGAGAAATTGTTATACTTTTGCAATAACTAATAGGTTCAATGTTAATGCTTTGTTTAGAACTTTTTATCTATGTCAAAAATTATTCTATATTTTATATCTGTACAATTATTAACACTCTGGATTCTTTGGGAATGGGGATATAGGAGTCTAACCTCATATCTAGCAATACCTAGAATTTTTATTAGGATAGCCTAGTCTAACAAGCCCTTGTAAGCCTTCCCTGTCGCCTACTACACATCTTCCCACAAATATGAGAAGGTGTGTAGTCAAGTAGTGGGAGGGGGGGGGGGGTCAGAGGGGCTTGTCATCTAATGAGCACTTAGGTATCATTGACTTTTTACAGTAACTTGTACCAGATTTTTATCTTCCTGCCCTTGGCTTTTAGATATACATAAAAGGTCATTGGCGATAGCACTGAATACGATAATGGAGTTTAAACTCTCAAAGCACATATTAAAATAGTCATTTTTAGGCTAATTTACTTTTGTAAAAAATAAGCCACTGGAATACAGTATTCATCAAAAACGACAGTGTTATTTGTGGACCATTGAGAGATATAGAGATATTCCTTCAAATATTCAAAGCTTTTTATAACCTAAAAGTCAACAAATAACCGGACTGTTTGATTAATAAGTTAATAAATTTCATATTTCAATAATTCATCATTGGAAATATTTCAGCTATGATATTAATAAGGATATATTTGCTCGGTAAAATAAATATTTTATATAAATATGTCGAAAGCTTTTTTGTTATCATGGGCCTCAGTAACTTCGGCATTGAATGTCAATTTGAGCGAACTAATAACTGAGCAATAATAATTGTGGCCATATTGGTATTTAACTGTTCTTTAGAACAGGCAAACATTGAAAATCGTGGATCATTTCAGAAAAGCAATGAAATGCTCATAAGTAGTCTGGGTATTTACATAAAGGACCCAGTGTACAGTGAAAATAAATCCCGGCAATGACCTTCATACACTCTACTTATCCTAAGCCTCCAATGTGATAGGTCTATTATGACATAATATTACATAAATGCTAGTATAGATAAATGGCAAGGAGGATTGGCTCCCAGAGTGCAACATCGATATTCTGTCCCATATATGGGCATGTCGTGCTACAAAATTTGAATTCCAACAGCCGCCATTTTGTTCACTTCAACATTTGAATCGTAAATTTTGGTCTTATTTCCTAACGAAAAATTCCAAAACTCACAGGAAATGATTGAGATATTGGTTCGAATCTTTTGAACTGTTTATTTTGAATTTATAATCGGTTATAATTTCAGAAAATAACGACATCTCGGCGTTTTCATTGTTGGAAAATATCGACTTCGATTCTGGGAGCCAATCCTCCTTGGATAAATGGTTTTGATTTCTCCAGAATCACCAGACACTATATGTTATCAAGGTGTCTTCTAAATGTTATTCGTCTATGATTTCATTACTTTATATTTAATCGTACAGTATAATGGTTTATAGTGATTTTAACATAACAAAACATTTTCAGCAAAACTGGACCATCCTCCGATCACAGGGCTTCAAAATCAAGAATATATTCTTTCTTTTTACCCCCTGCGATAAGCAGTTAGCATTTCCCCGATTAAGAACTCGCAATCTGATTGGCTGTTGCAACACTGCGACAGAAATCATGTATAGGTCATTGCGCATAATTAGATCACGTGATTCAGTTTAATCGGGCGCTTCCAAATTGGTTATAGCAGGGGGAAGAAGGAGGTACGGATTCTGGATACCTGCTTAGGAGGATGAACTGGGCAGACAAGTAGAAGGTTAAGACTCAAACTTAAACTTAATCTCATTGTCTCTAGATAGGAAAAACAATGCTCTCTATGAGAGGTTTTGAAGTCCAACAAATAAAAAGGTTTTCAACTCTTTAGAGATGTGAAGTCCTATTCTTAACAAAGGGTAAATCTTTCATTAAAGTGCAATATCACAAGTATTAGGTTATCAACATGTAATTTACAACAGTACTATATATAAATAAAACCATCCACAAATATTATTTTACAGTTACATAGTCCGAGATAAGAAATCTTCAAATATCAATTGAAATTACAATGTCCAATTTTTAAAGCTTTCTGAAAAGGAGATCCCATAAAAAGCAAAGTTGACTTATTGTATATTTTGGCTTAGCCTTGCACCCCGATTGTGTTATACCCCCAAGGTGTTTTGTTATGTTAGGATGTAGATAAGTGGATACAGGCTTAATCTGTTATAAGCTAACTTGATATTTAAGATAATTTAGCAGGAACTAAGGACAATTCTAAAGGGACTCATATACACATATGTTTTTAAGAGAAACTACATCTGTATGCTTTGGGTCCATCAAATTTCTTGTTAAATCAAATTTTTTTAAATATTTTTTTATTTTATGATATAAAGTTCAGAGTGAGAGTTTATATTTATATATTATGTATTTTTACATATGAATGGAAAGCAACCAACTTTCTAACTGGAGCTCACCGTTTGCCAAAATTTGCATCATAAGTTAGTCAAGGAGGGACTCACACTGTTGTGTATATTGTACACTTAACTTGGATATAAAGAGGTTAAAAAGAAACTTAGTACATAAACTATAAAAGAGAATCGTTTGAAATCACTTAGTTTATAAGGATAAAAGCTGAATTTAAAGGTAAGAAAATGTTTTTTAATTGGAGTATTTTTGAGTTTCAAAAGTGTGAAGCCCAGTAATCTACCTTATCTACATATATTACAGTGTATATAGGTTTGTTTTAACAAATAATTAGTTTCCTATATGATAAATTTAAAATGTCAAATGGCCTACAAGACAAATATCAGCATTAGTATACCCTGCGTGCAGAGTCTAGTTAAACTACACTCTGCCTAGTAGAAACCATATTACAGTTTAGTAGCCCTGCCCCCACGACGGGTGCCGATGACAGTTCGGGTAATAAATCACTTCTGACTTACGCGCTGACCTTTCTTCCACCAATCAGCGAGCTTGAAGAAACACGCGCCAAAATAAATTGTGAATTTTCATTGGTCAATTCCGGGCTTAACGATGACGTCAGAAGGAATGACCATATATAGAACGTCGGTCAAATTTGGCCGACGAGCACTGATTGGCGCGGTGAGTTCACAGGTTTATTTTAGTTTGAAAGAGTGAAGACGGAGCTCTCTTTTAAGAAGTGAAGTCGAACGAATGCAAAGGGTAGCATTAGTATGAACTGAGCTTTTAAAAAGAGAAAAACAATAACTTCTTGGGTGTCCAAAACCAATGAATATTTTATTATTTCCAATGAATCTATGAAAATTGACCAAGTAATAGGCATATGGAATGTTCACTTGGATATAAATAATGCTCACAATCTACTATATGTTTATAATAGGCTGGTATTCTATGTATTATAGCTCAAGAGATCCATATAAGGTTTTGTACCCCTCCCCCATTCCTATGGACTAGGTGAAGAGAGATGGAGAGAAATTATCTAAGAATCATTCTGGTGCTCATCACATTTTTCTTACTAGAAAGGAAGAATTGAGATATCATATCATCTCAAACAGTCCAAGACTTAACCTGAAAATGGCCTCACATTGAGCACCCCTTCTTTAACTATGCTTAAATCAAATTCTTGAAGGATATAAAATTCACTTATAGACTCATTTCCTCACTATTTGTGAGATATTTGCACAGTCCTATTCCCTTGATTGTATTTGGGATCATTTTCTCACTGTGGTCTCATTTCTTGAAGATGTCCATTAGACTGTACTCCAAATAATCAAAAATGTTAATAAATCATATTCAAATGTTTTGTGATAGATGATATATGACCCACCCTACATGCTACAGGTAACCCAAGCCCATATGTTGATTTTACATGACCCATAGCACTAAGCAGTGGTTATTGCATACCAAGAACCACTTGAGAGAGTTTAATTATAACATGATTAGGCTAGATTTTTGGTCATTGCCCGTCCATGCTTTTTGTCTTGGAAACCTGGATGACTTGTCTCACTTTCTAACATTTTTTTATAATTTAGAGTGTTGATTACATGCCTCTTTACTCAAATTCTTGGTTTTTCCATAAATTTCCTCCCTATTTATAATTACTTGAACATGCCCCATGTGAAATTTTTTCGCGGGAGAATTTAATTATATGGTAGGCAATCAAGCCTGTTCTCCATCATTACATCTCTTGATGAAATGTCTACACCATACAAAGAGTGAATTTATAATATTGGGAAATATGATGGCGGTTGTTTTAACATCATAAGGTTTGCTGTACCATTTGCATTCGTTCACCTTCTCCTCTTTAAAAAGAGAGCTTCGTAGTTGATATCTAGACTCTGCGTGTAGGGTAAGTTTGCTGGTCCATGGGATACTGGTATGCTGGTACTTTAGTTAGGTATTACCCTGGGGTTCAGCCAGGTTCTTTCCTCTGATAAGGATAAATAATTTAACATTTTGATGCTGAAAAGATCTTAATGATCAGAAAAGTAGCTGACATTGACCTCTAATGCGATTTTGAATATGAAATAGATAACAGATAATTATGAAGGCATAAAATGCAGTATACAGCAATGCAATTGTAATTTTGACAATATGTTCATTCTTGTTTCAATATTCTGCACTCTCCCGTCTTGGGCAGAATATTTGCATTATGATGTATGTTCCTTACAAACTATATAGATCTGATGATTAGTAATGTTTGTGATATATACATAACATTTAATCTTGGTTGATTCATTAACATCCATGATGCAGCATCAGGGTGGCTTATATTATATAGGCTCAATTGAAAATGATTGAACAGTGGGTCCCATCTTACTCTGATTTTAGAAGTAACACCATGGGGCCCGGATGAAGGAGGCAAATCAAACTATTTAAAGGTGTTTATAAATACAAACCAACAAACACGGTTATATCATTGTTATAGTTACCTTAAAACATCACAATGGATTGAATGCACTTAAAATGGGTGAAAGTCATGAATATGCCAAGCACCTGCTAAACTCACCTTATAACATCTATACATGTAATTTATTGTCACAAGTTGGCTCTCAAAGCTATTGTTAACTAAATTGTGCATGTCTAAATATACATCTTCTCCCACTATCGACTCATAATGGTAACTTGTCAGCAATGTATTTTACACCTATATCAACATGTACTATATGTAAGCCAAGTTAGCTGTCTTTGTAACTTCAAGTGTCAATCACTCAATCTGTTTTTGAGAGTGACATGTACTGAAGGTGTGTTTCATTTGTTTTCTAGGGTTTATGGGGTTTTTGTTATGAATCAATTTTTTAGATTGACTATGTGTTTGTGGTTTGGGTTCTGACTCAGTTCTAAAGGGCTTTTGGGGTTTTGGCTTAATTGTTCACCCTGGACACCAAAGGCAATTTCTAGTCTCTAGTATTGAAAAAATAATTTTATAGTATATTCTTAAAATACCCCAAAAGTCACTGTTTTTGGCCTTTCATGGAAGTTTGAATATGAACATATCAAAAAATTAATTTTTATTCAACCGCTACCATTCAAAAATAGTTGTTTTTATGTTTTGGTAACAAAATGAAATTGCAAAAGTTATCTTGAATCAAACATTGAAGATTAACTGCTGAAAGGGAACTGGTAAATCAGAATATAATCATTCTATCAGTGGCACCATCATATAATGATAAGCCATGGCATGTACTTCCTTTGCAAGACAGAAAGATAAGACTAGCATAAGAATGGCATTGTTTGTTCTCCAGTCTCTACTCCCTCTTTAGGAAGAGTTAGATAAAATGGGTATTGGATATAAATCAGAATGCAAGAATGGTGTAATAAGCTCATTTCTCATTTTGATTCATATTGAAGTCCTAACACCATGAAGAAGCTGTTTATTGTGATGGTGACATATTGTTATTTGCTTCCAACTTTTTGTGGTGATGTTCAGTGGTTGGTGTTTGGCATTGAGCATCTGTAACAAATGGCAGGTGGTGACATTTTTCATTTTAATGCCTTGTTATACTATACTCAAAGAAAGTTGAGGTCCAAGATGGTTCTAATGAGAAATTCACACCAACACTGAAGCTTAAAACATTTTCTTTTAACAGAGAAATTATTAAAAAGGGTAATTCACACCATAACCAGAATGCCTCCATTTTTTGAGCCAGTTGATTAAATTCCAAGTCCATGGTGTAATCAGAGGAAGTTAAATCTACCAGTCATTCTGTTCATAATATAAGAAACAGATATTGTTAATTCAACCACAATGATCTTCCAGGATCTAGGATGTCACATTCCTGGTCTGAGGGGTTGAGTTACCCATTCCCATATCTAAGTACACATTTTTAGGATGAGGTCACCTCAGGTTAGAACCACCATGGGAAACCCTATTCTTCCATGTAGTCCCTGAAACAGAAAGATGTGATGAGTATGACAATTGTTCCCATATTAATATTCATAGATTTATTTTATTGAGTCATAATCTTGTCACGTTACTGGTCACATGCGTCACCCCTATGTCACCCTTTGCATTTGTTCGACTTCACTTCTTAAAAGAGAGCTTCGTCTTCACTTTGTATGTTCATCCCATGTTAAAAATGTTTATATCAAGCTGTGTCTGCCATCCTATTCTCTCTCAAATAGATAATGAGTAGGAGGGAGATTGCAAGACCATGCAATAGAATAAAGCTGTATATCAATACTTCCATATACAGGCCTGTAGCCAGCTTTTGCTAAAACCCCTGAACTCCCCCCTACCTGGCTATAGGCCTGTGGACCATGCAATAGAATAAATCCATTCACCCCCCTACCTGGCTATGGCCCTGTGGACCATGCAATAAAATAAATTCATTTACCCCCTACCTGGCTATGGACCTGTGGACCATGCAATAAAATAAATTCATACACCCCCCCTACCTGACTATGGCCCTGTGGACCATGCAATAGAATAAATTCATTCACCCCCCCCCCCCCCCTACCTGACTATGGCCCTGTGGACCATGCAATAGAATAAATTCATTGACCAATACTATATAGTGAGAAATCACAGGGATAACATAAAACAGCCAAGAATCCTGTTAACCATAACACATATCAAATCATTCTAATATATTACATACAAATTATAACAAATGTGTAACTGTATCACAATATATTCAACAACATAACATATAACATTGTATTCATCAACATACAAACCCATTAGAATATGCAAATGTAGTGAAATAAGTCTGGGATAAACCTTAGTTGAGACTACCCCCTCCTTTTAATAGACCTTAAATGTTTATTAAATGTGACACCTTAATCCAATTTCCAACTTACAATAACCTTGCAAATTTTTTTTCTGATTTTGAATTCATAACGCATCAACTGGATTTGAACCTATTTCGATCTTAAAATCTTGATAATTTATGTTTTTATTTTGTAAGCTTATGATAATCTATTGAAAACTCGTATTGGTATTTTATAAAACGTCAAAATACTGAAAATAATGAATGAGCATTTCAAGGGTGTATTATCAATAAAATAAATAATCATACTTATTATTTCAATAATAGGTGCCTTTAAGTTTGTCACATGACAAAGACATTTACGTGAGCCTTTAACGAAGTGGAAGTCACACAATATCGGAGGTAACAATTATGTCAAACTAAATTTATTTTCAGTATATAGTTAAACTTACCGATGCTAGTTGTGCATCAAGCCCTGTTTTTGAGAGGGGAGAGACAAGGTCTTGATGCAAGAATGCTTGATATGTTATGGTGTAGAATAGATATATTGTAAATTGACATGTTCAGGCGTTAACTAAGATAGGTTACAATGTACAATATAGTTGGTATTGACGAGAAAGTAATTTGTCCTATTGGAAAAATTAAAGTGTTCACAAAGATAGGTTACACTGTATATATTGGTATGGACTCTAGATACATCTGTCATTTGGTAAACTCATCACTTTTCTTCTGTCTTTTGAGAGACTAAACATAGAATATTAAGTGTCAACAACTGCTGCGGACATACAAGTAAAACATTTAGAAATATTGTATGTATATTTGGAAATTGTAAGGATATGTGGATTTCAACACAAAGACAGTAACGGAGCAGGATCATCGAATACATTGCTTTGATACAAAATCCTCTTAACAGGTAACATTCATTGCTCGATTCTGGGTTTTAGGGCAAAATAACATATAGGATTTAATCTGTAAAGTATAATTAAAGCGTGGAAGGTAGAGTCAGCACTCAGCAGTTAGTCTTGCACCAAGCCCTTGTGAGGGGAGGGGGTAGATGTGTGGGGGGTCAGAGTAATGATACACAACCTGTGATATTCTAATGCTACTTAATTAAGAATACAGCTAATTATAATGTTTCAAATGAAGAAAATACCAGTGTAGTCTCGCAGCAGGCCCTGTATAAGTGAACATCCCCCTGTTCCCTCTCTGTCACAGGATCGGAAAGGTTACATGGTCATTATGCAAGAGTAAAATCAGTGAGGGATGTTGGAGATAAAGAAGATGAGCGAGCCCCAGGCAAATAATAACATTTGGTATAATTTTGATGTGAAGTAAAAAACTGAGTTTTTTATCACAGCCTTAGGTAAAGTATCGCACTTTTACAGTAACTTTGCTGCTCTATTTAAATAATATTTTTTCTTTGATTTCATGAAATTCCATCGCATTGTGATATTTTAATAGAGGACTACTTTGTATTGTTAATTAAATGTTCCTTTGCCGAAAACTTTGTGTAAAGTAAACAAAGTTATGAAAAGTATGACTTTAAAATCTTTTTGTTCAACGAATGTTACATTTTTGGAACAAATATTATATTTGTGGTTTTATTGTTCGATACACCCCTCACGATTTTTGTACGCCACACTTATTTTAGGTTTTGAATTAAAAATTAGTTACATATTTATATCTTTTGAAGTGTGAATAATATAAGAGGAAGCATCATTATGCTAATAAAACCTCCAAAATAGAGTAGTGTAAAGGTTTATTTAACTTTTATAAATTCATTACTTCTGCTTTTACTTTTTTATAAATTATTTATGTGGTGGCTTATTAGTATATTGAAAAGGTAATTCAGTAGCAGTAGATTTTTGTGACAGGAGGTTGAAAACGGACACCTTGAGATGTTTGACGTAGGTGATAAATCTAAATTTCAAATTGCTATTCAGAGAGGAAGAACGATTTTCATAGATGTTGAAAGGAAGTTTAACATGGATAAAAAAATCAAAATTTTAAATGACCCTAGTATGTGTAAGTAGATGCATAAATTATTTAGCTAATTACTGTAAAGCTACAAATGTTGTCAAGTGCTGTGATTCATCTTTAGTTTATTTAAATTGCAAAATTCACATGTAATTTTCAAAAAAGGTAAAATCATGAAAAACAATACCTACATATTTTTTGCAAAAAAAATCTAGTTTTACAGTATACTGTTGAGAAGGCATGATGTTGACTTCATATATACAACAACATCCTTGGTCCAAGAGTATTTCAATACTTTCATATGGCTGCTATAGCAGTGAAGCCCAATCTTAAGGATGATATAAGAACTGCAAGTAGTTGACCTATCTTCTCTCTATATTGAACATGGACCAAAAAACAAAAAAACATTTTTTAAGTTCATGGAAAAGATATCATACCATCATGTTATATTTTCAAAGGACTCACTAATGAAATGTTGTCAACAGTAGTAGCCTGTAGTGTTATTCAGTATGAATAATTATTTTGGTTAAATCTCACTATTATGTAAAGTTAACTACATGTTAGAACACATATGCAAATCGCCCACATTTTTTGATTTGATTTGATGGCTAGGCTATTATTATATTCATTATGTAATTTGGGAGTGTTGAATCAAGCTTTTGTATACCCCGTACCCCCAGTAACACTTCTACTCTTGGTACAGAGTGGACCCCCCTTTCCTGGCCAAAATTCTTTCAAAATCATGCAGTCTTTCACTATTTTGAGCACTTCAAGTGATTTTGGGTCAAAATTATAAAATTCGAATCCTCGTTCGAATTTTTAAAAAATTGAACCCCTTTAAAAATCTGGCTACGGGCCTGCACTACTGTATTTCTCTCAATGATTTCTATCCTTGATTATATACTTATACTGCATAGTACCACCTGTACTTTAAGTCTTTTAAACTTTCTTTTAGTACTGTAGTTCAATTATACTATAAAACATAACCACCGTGCAATTCTCCTTTAAGGTATACTTGAATTAAGTCTGGAGTAAGGATAAGTATTTTGGGTCGTGGTTTCTTTGATTATATTATGTGTCAGATATGCCACCTTTCAGTCTTCACCTGGTAGGTCCACTTAAACGTTAATACCTCAAAAGGCATTGAAAAGATTCTACCAGACTTCATTCTTCTTATTGTGCATTAACTTATTTAATTTTTTAAATTGGAATATTTTTGAAAAGAATTTAATTGTATTACCTATTCTGATTGAGGTATTACCTATTCTTGTTGAGTGATGATATTACATATTTTTGATTATATTCAAATTCATATAGTATACCAGTAGGGTGTTCAATAAGTTTTGCCATTTTTGCTGTAACTTAATTCCTATAATAATTGATTTATTTTTCTTAATGCAAAATTTGCTGCATAAAGAACATATATGTGACCTTATTGTATCAACAGATGTTACTTTAGAAACTAAAGTTGAAAGCATAAAAAAATCACAGAAATATGTCCTCCAAATAGGTATTTATTAACCATACTTTTGGATCAAGTAAAATAAACATGAATTCAATTTTTGCTTGACCCGCTATGCCACTTGGGTATTTATTTATAAATTTATGGATGCACTTATTTTCATCAGGTATTCAATACTTATTGAATGCCTTTTATTTGTGGTGTTCAATACTTATTGAACATCCTGCATTGTGATGTTCAAATGTTGCCTGTAATTCACTGTTAAATCATGTAAAACACTTAAGATTTCAAGCACACTAATGTTTATGTAACATAAATACATATTATCATTCCAGTATTTTGATTGATTACGTGAGAGTGTGAGGTAACACGTCTGCGGTATCATATGTCTCTCTTTATCTCTTGTTTGTTTTTGCAGATATGAATAAAAGCAGTGATGGGAGCAAATCGTGAGTGCCTTTGGAGCTATTTTGGAATACTTGAGTACCACGCAATACAATAGTCATTAATAAAGGAACAAGTGAAAATACAGCTTGGATGTATATATGCACCTGTTTTCTGCATGGAATAAAACACTGATAAAAAAGTTGACACGGATCGGAATGTTATTGATGGAATGGATATTGTTGTTAAAGTAAGTTTAACATTTGTTTAAAATGCCAGCTGAAAGGGGTTCGAGGCTTCCAGCCCCCAAGTTTACTCGTGGGATTCCCCAACCCAGTGAGCCAACAAAGATTGCCACGACTGTCAAATTTGATCAAAATGGTGACGTAACACCAACGAAAACTACTGGAAATAGATTTTCCCAGGGAGAGGCTAAAGAAGGAGATGGTAAACAAAGGAAAAGTGGATTAAAAAAACCATCGTCAAGAATTAAGCCACCTGGTGGTGGAGCCTCCAAGCCAATTGAGATCTCTCCCAATAAATCTGTAGTTAATTCAGGACTTCCACGGAGAAGCCTTGAGCTTCCACAAAACTATAGCCCCAAGTTGCCAAATAGAGAGATCCATGTTGGGGCAGGAACACCTCCTTCATCACGCCTTAGTGCTCATGAGAGTGCCCTTTTAGCAGTGCCGCAACCGGAGGTAACTGAACCTAAAGTTAAAAAAGCTGTTGTCAGTAAACTGTCCAGATTTCGCAAAAGTGATGATAAGAAAAAAGAACAAAAAGTCAAAATGAGTGAACTTCAGTCCCCAAGACTTGAAAAGAAAGTGACAATAGATGCCCCTCCTGATGATGATTCTAAACAATCAAAATCTTCAAATGCAAAACCTTTGACCCCTAAGTCACCAAGATTTGGAGGACGGAAATTTTTTGGGCTTGGTAGGAAGCAGTCAAAAAATCCTGCTCCGTCAAAAGAAGAAGTAAACATGGTAAAAGAGACCAAACCTACAGAGACTAATGAGAGTAAAGTATCTCCTCTTCCATCACCAGGACCTGTTGATAGGTTAGTGTCAAGATTAAGGTCCCCTAGCACAAAACTCCCTCCCCCTGAAAACACTGCTCATGTTAAAATCATATCAAAGATACCATCCAAGGAGAGTCAGAAAGGACCCCATATAGACACAGATGAAACTAATGCTCAGGGTAATGTTAGTAAAATCAAACCAAGGGGCCTTGTTGCTCCTCAATATGGTGCTAATAAACTAAGATCTCCCACAAGGCCAAATGTAATTACCTCTCCGCCCAGTAGCCCTCATAAAGAGAAGAGCCCCATGAGAGATAATCCCAGTCTTCCACATATACCCCCTCCACCTCTGGAAGATAGCATGATTGAACTGGACAGGGCTAATGCCCTTGATGAACATGCTATACAGAGGAGAGACCAGAAGCTCCAGGAAATACAGCAGAACTTGCCCCCTGTTCCAGTTGACATCCTTCCAGATTATTCCAGTGATGAAGATACCACAAATAGAATCCATTATGAGGATGCCAGTGATTTAAAACCAGTATATGAAAATACTGAAGTGTTAAGACATACGAGTGGGAATTTACAACAACAAAGGATTGGAAAACTGGAACACAAGCCAGTATATAAAGGACCTGGTAGTTTTGGATTACATTTTAAAAAACAAATACCTCACCCTCAGGAATCTGCGGGGGAAAGTATGAGCCAATACCCCAGTGACGTTATACACCAAGTTGACAACCTCACATATCAGACTACGACTGAAATGTTTCAACCGCCTCACTTGCTCAATAAACCATTAGTTCTCCATCATAACATTTATGAAGATTTCAGGGAGGATGACCATGAACATTATAAAGAGGAAAATCAAAATGTTAATGAATTTGACAAGAGTGAGAGTTCTCGTAGTGAGAGTTCTCATAGTCATGTTGATACTGCTGAGTTTGATTTTGATATGATTGCTAATGAGAGTGCAACTATGGCTGCAATGCTGTCCAGTCAAGATCAACATGATGTGAATACTGCTGAGGAAGACAATAATGCTGAATCTGGGAATAACAGTGGTAATAAAAATACAGAAATTGAAAATGTAACGAGTAAGGTTGATATACCTGTTGAAGGAGACTATGGTAATGATCATACTCAAGCTGAACAACTAAGCGAAACTAGTCATTGTATCAGGCATCAGAAACACTTAAAAGACGTAAGAAACCAAGCTAGACAAAACCGGAATTCAGGAGGAATATTTCTCGAGACACAGTTCAAAAATTATGATATGGATATACAAAATAATGTAAGTAGTGAACATACTAGTGACGTTGATGATAATGATGAGGAAATCTATGACGAACCCTATGATGAGAAGATTGCATTTAGTGAGACATCTGCTGAATCTAAAAGTATTAAGAGTACTTTCACAGATAATCAATTCCATCATTCAGATGATGTTTTTGATATTAAGGTAAATGATCACTTAAATGAAGTTCATAATGATGATAATAATACAAATGCTAATATTGAGGAGGAGAATAATAATATGGAAAAGGAAATTATCCCCAGTCCCATTGTCTCCAGTGGGGATGAAATATTAGAAAGTATTGAATCGCCAAAAATTCCCCCAAAAATTCCACCTAAACCCCAATCAGCTCTTGCATATACAGTCGCTGCCATTTCGCAAGTCGATAGCCCATTGTTAAAGAGGCATAACAATATGGATTATGTACCAACAAGGGGTCCAATCTCGGGAAGAATGCAGGATATGGATTGTATACACAGGGGAAGCCCTCGGGAAAGCCCTGTTGTTCCCAGAAGAAATGTAAATGGTTTGATACAGGAAGGATATGTGAAAAAATCAGGGAGTGATTATAGCTTGAATAGTAGTGGTGACACAGGTACGGGATCTGGATACAAATCGGGTTCTGGATCTGGTGGACATAGCTTGTCAAGGGACAGAATTGATTGCCCTGGGAGTATTAGTCCCAGAAATGCTAGTCCCCATCAACCAACACAACATTCCGGTTCTCTCTCTGAGGATAATATCATTACCGAAACACCACCAGAAAGACCTCCATTGCCTTTGGATTATCTTCAGATACGTCAAATCCATAAGCAACAAATACAAATGGCTGACACTCTCCAAAAACAATATGAGTTTGACACTCCTTCAGATAATCAAGAGCCCCTCCAACGTAATTTAGACCCCATAGAAGAGCGTGACTTGGAGAAGGAGTTTTCGCCTGAGATAGTACAAATTATGGAAGAAAAAACAGAACTTGCTGAGCCTCCTGATGAAGGTAAGTAAACTCTCTACAGGTTATAATATATGTTCCCTCAAAACTTTGTTCCTATGTTCTCATTCTCACAAAAAGTTGATCGAAAAACATTGATCATTCAGATACTCATCACATTATTCTGTTTTATGGCTGAGAAGAAATGAGTCTTGATTTATCATGATGGTTCAATGCCATCTTAATTGTTCTTACTTTCATAACTTTCAAATTTTACAACTGGATGTTACAAATGATGTTCTCAACTTCAGCAATCAGTTGGTTAAATGCTGGGGATCACTTACAGCTACTATACCTGTTTATTCCCAGTATGATGATACTTATGTGTGGCAATTCCTTGAATAAAATAAAAATTTACTTTCTATAATAAAGTTAAAAATAATTTGCAAGGAGTTTGAAGACTCCAATTTAAAATCCCTCAAAGTAAAACCGAGATGTAATAACTTAAAATAATTTGCAAGGAGTTGGAAGACTAAGTTAAAATCCCTCAAAGAAAAACCAAAACGTAATAACTTAAAGGGCATATCAGCTATTTTAAACGCATAATCTTTAAACTTGACCCCAGTCTGTGGAATAATTATGTTAGGAATTTTCTCATGTAATAGTTTGTAACCTTAAGTATAAGGCAATATGCCAACGATTTGTTATATGCAGTTCTATTTTTAAGATAAATGATTTCCTTATCACCACCTAATTCTGAAGGCCTCTTCTATTATCGTAGCTATAAACTTGATAAAGTAAAGGGCATCTTTCCTGGATGTAGGATAAGAACACCTGTTTTTTGCACTTTGTTACATTTCTTCTATAGGGGTGGTATGTAAATATTGTTTTATGTTTTGAGGATGGTATCTACATATCTCTTCCCACTCAAGGTGTCTGTCATTAGAACTCATCAGAGAGGCCAAGAAATGAAAAATGTTCAAAGATATACTAATCTGAATTCTTGTATCCCAGGGCTTTCAGTAACGTGTCCTTAACATGCGTCTTAATCATTTTTAACTAATCAAATCACTGGATTTGTTGCACATGCGCATAAAACGGAACTAATAAATTGAACCTCGCGGAGATTGCCCCTATTGTCGATTGCTTCGAAATATGAAAAAGAATATGTATTTAATGGTTGAATATTAGATATCTCTTTCAAATGAAGGTACCTGTATAGTGTCTTACTAGACATTTGTAGAACGCTGATTTAGGCTGATAAATAACAAAACTGATTATTACAGAAACTTTTCATCAATGTTTTGGTTCGGTGTAAAAATGTGACTTTTAATTCCCGGGAACCTTTTTTCTTTTCACTGGACACACTTTTTTGAAGGGGGACTCAATTTTTGAATATCAATCCGTCCCAGGGACGTACTCTTGGACCAAGCTACTGAAAGCACTGTATCCTTAGTCATGGTTTGAAAAAAACATATGCCTAGAAATGCCTTAGAAATTGCACATCAATTTATAACAAATTATATATAATTTTTCATCGTGTATAAAAATGTACAATATTATTGTCAGCTTGGTGGTGGGTCATGGGTGGTTGTCTGGACAGTAAGCTGCAGCATTTTTGATTTTTAGGTATCTAGTTGTTATAGATTATATCTTTTTTTGAACATGTGCAATCCTTTCCTCCCAATCTTTTTGTGAAATGATACCTAACCAAGTAGATTCTTCAGTCACTTAAACTATATATATTATATATATAATATATGCTTTATATGGGCTTAGCCTTTTGCAGATTATTGACATTGACAAAGAAAACTTCTTAGTTTCCAGTTTGTTTCAAAATATTTGAGGAGTTTAATTTCAACCTGTGGAGAAAAAATTCCTGTTCAAGCTGATGCACATAGGCCTATGTTTTATTTAGAGTCTATAGTAGATAAGGATATGACTAGATACTATAAAAACTGGGGGAAATTCAGATACAGTATCTTCCTTCATTAATGTATATGGGTCAAGATTTATACCTGGGTGGTTCCCCAGATCTGGCATGATAAGTCATGTAATAATGTGTATTGCAACATGTAAACATGGTAAAGAAAATGAACCTGTATAGAAGATATAAAATACTATTCATTGAGGCCATGTCTTATATACATGTACTAGCATTTTTAGAAAATAGGAATTCTCGAAACCTCTTTTGCAAGACAAACATGCAGTTTTCAATACAGAATTTCTTCACACTTGTCAGCTTGTAGCCAGTAATGTTAAGCAAGCCACGAACTATGCAATCATTGATCTACTAAATTTTGCTTTGAGATAATCTGAGGGCAATATATATAAACATTTGTGTTAAATATTTCATTGTTTTTTTCTCATTCCCAGTGTTGAACTGCTACAGCAGTATATTCCTCTTGTGGTCATTTACTAGTATTTATGTCTAAAATGTCAATTATATTAAGCATATTAGATTTTATGGACTTTTTTCTATGTGTGATTGGAAATATGTGAGTATACTAAGTCATCTCCCCAGTATTTCTTTCTCAGGTGGGTGCAAAATTCTCATATTCACAATTCAGATCAAAATTTGTCAAAATATGCCAGTTGTTCATGATTTTTCTCATTTTCAAGTGGGTGGAAATGGATTTTTAGGTGGGTGCAAGCCTATTTTAAAAATCTCAGGTGGGTGCTGTGCCCACTTGCTTTAATGCTGGGGGGATCACTGACACTGGATATGTGATCATTGTGATGATATATTAGAAGAGATCACCATCATGCCCCCCCCCCCCCCTATTACAGAGAACCTAGTAATAAGAAAGGTGAAACTCTATTTTAAAGAAGTGAAATGAAACTACATTGAATTGTAAAATTTAGTCCCAAATTAGAAATTGCACTAGTTTGTGTTATGAAGTCCACATACAGGGTGATCATGAAGTAAGATCAAAAGTGCTCTAACTTATGTGTAAATATTAATGGATCTGGCTCATTTTCTCACAGAATGTTGATGTATTGATCTTGTTTTTTTTTTTGGGGGGGGGCTTAAAAGAACGAACCATGTGTCACATCTTGAAATTTATGCTTACAAATCTATCAAAATATGAAATGTCTTGATGGATTCAGATGGCGGGGAAAGACTTACCATGTGTCATATCTTGAAATTTATGCTTACAAATATATCAAAATATGAAATGTCTTGATGGATTCAGATGCCGTTGATAATCTTGACATATATTTATGTTACCTTTCTATTTCTGTCTTAAGTTAACAAAGGATGAAAGAAATAACTACATAATCTATTTTGATCTAATTTTATGCTTTGCATCCACTTTTAAAGTACAATTCAATTTCCCATGAGCTTCACAAAAGTAAAATGTAGATGGCTTTTCAATTCCATTCACCTCATTAGAAGGGGGCAGACATTTTCTATTTAATTCATTTGTAACTGTATGAAGCTGTGTGATCGTCAGTGAAATAAAATATAATTTTCAAATATTCTCAAGTTGTCATTTTTAGCAGTCACACTTTTAAAGGTGCTTAACGTTTACATGTATATACGTCTTTAGAAATTGTTTTTATTCTTTTTATTTAAATATATTTTGAAAAGGATATGTTTTTTTTCTCACGACCCTGGCTATATAGCACATCCATCACATCAATGGTTTGACACTAGAGTAATTGGGATTTATCGTTTATATCAGTTACAAATATTCATTTATTTATATAATTATGGCTATAATTATCATATTTAGGTAATTGATACATTCCAATCAACGGTTGCATGTGTATTAATTAGGACAAAAATTTGGAAGTCACTATAGGTGTTTTTTGATGTATTATTACATAATGAAATTTCAGATGGTCAGACCAGGAGCAAGTAAAAACATTTTTGCTTTAAACCATACAGTAAAACCCGCAAAAATGAACATCTCTGTTTTGAATCAATTTCTGATAAAATCAGTTAAATCATTGAATCAGGTATTATAAACATTTCTCAAGTTGTAAGTTTTAAAGATTATAAAGGATACATGTACCTCTTATAATTTCTAAAAGGGATGGCAACTAATTTGTGAACCATATGGGTAATTTTTCAACCTTTTATATATTTACAGAAAAAAGGTTTATGAAACAGATCTATTATGGTGTTTCAAGATACAGGTCATAGGCATAGCCAGGGGGGGGGGGTGGGGACCAAAATGCCGCTGGAAGTGGTGACTCTGTTGAAGAGAATAATGTACCATCAGAAAGGGATTTGTGTTATGCTTTGAATGGAACAAGTTTGAAGAAAAACGGTGCAGTATGAGACTCGTAATCCTTGATTTTCAAACATCCGGTAGGTCAAAAATTCAAATTAACGGTCGAAGTTAGGACTGCGTGACCATGAGATAGAAGAAAAGAGCTTTAAAATGGAAGTTGCATCAATTTTTCTAAAATTCTGACTGAAAACCGAAAAAAGTGTGATTGCACCCCCCTGACTGAAAGCTGGCTATGCCCCTGAAGGTTACTGCCTGAATTGATTTGAGTAATGGTGAATCTTAGAACCAGAAATGGGCACTATTTCCATTAGTGCATTTTCTTTGTTGACCAAGAGTTACCCATCATGTTACTTGTTAAGTGAGACAGAACATTTAAAGTCAGCCAACACTTGTGATTTTATCCTCTCATGCATTTTCTAGAGACAGATGTTCATCTGCTATAGGTTTACCTGTATTCAATTAATAGCTAAGTTAGATCATAAATCAACAATAAATGACATTTCTTGAAATCTGAACAGCCTGGGAAACAGCTTCATTTTTTGATGGATTTGATGTCTTAATATTTGTAAGCAATTCTCACATTATTTACCTTCCGATATGTCAACTTTTTGAAACATCATGATAAATTGTTTAAAGTTACTTTCCAATATGTCAACTTTTTGAAACTTCAACCGCATCATATACAATGTATTAACAAGCAAAATACCACCACCTGCCATTTGTTACAGATACTAACTGTGGAAGGACAAATGCCAAACACCATACACAAAAGAGTTGGTGATTGTAACAATATGTCATCACTTTTAGCTTTTTAAAAGTTGT